GTGTGTGTGTGTGTGTGTGTGTGTGTGTGTGTGTGTGTGTGTGTGTGAGAGAACAGCTTGAACCAAGTGGTTATATCTGGAGGACTTGACTCACCAAACACAGCAGCTAAAGTGCCCAGCGTCTCTTTAAGAAATAAACATTCTTTACTTTTAACTTCTGAGTGACCCTCCACCAGCAGAACAGAGTAAACAGTCTGAGCCGGTTGAATGATTGTCTCGTCCAGTGTAATAGTTTGTGTAACCTGGAGCGTTTTGAATAATCAGATTAAACTGTTCCTCCAAACAGACTTCATTCTTCTCTCTTTTTCTAACCGTGCTCTCCCTCTGTTACCCAGGCGACGAGCTGGAGTGTATACAGCCCGGTTTGTACAGGAACGTGGCGCGGCAGCTCAACATCTCTGTTGCCATGGAGAACATGGTTTCGGATGCCTTCATCGGCGTGGCAACAGAGATCTTCTCAACAGGTATGCTGCTGCTGCTGATGATGACGCAGTGCCCTGTATGCTATAACTAAACCTGTTGTCTTCGGCCAGTACAGGAAGTGATTCACACTTCCACAGCGTCTCCCGCTACTGATGAAGGCCTTCACTGTCATTAAACTGGTGTGAGTCTGCACTTTCCAGCAGAGAGGTGCTTATAATGAGAGGGAGTGGGTGTGAACATTTTTAGAGTCTTACTTCTTTGTTTTGAATGTAGGCCTTTTATGGCCCAAGCAATATCCGCTTCTGCCCGCTCTTGGTCTTGAATCAGGTCTCGGTGTCTTCTTGTAGGTTTTTTTAATGACGTGGTCTAGCCCTTAATGTCCTGTGTTGTGACCAATTGTTGTTGTTTGCAGACATTGTTGGGTGTTCTAAAACTTTGTGGCCACGCTAGCGCGTCGCTCTAGGGACGTTGATGTCGTTCAGTCGGTATGCCACTTTTGTCCAGACTGACATACGTCGGCTACCTGATGGACTGCGATGACATTTGGTTCAGACATTCATGGTTCTCACTCGGAGAATGAATCCTACGGACTCTGATCCCCGGACATTACCTCCAGCACCACCATTTGTGGGTTTGGGTGAAATGTCTCAACAACTTTTTGACGGATTGCCATGAAATTTGTGTCCTGCACAGGATCAATTTAAATCTCTTCTGTGTATCTTTTATCAGATCACCTTATCCGATACTTTGGTTTATACCTGCAATACTTATGAGTCTATTCTTATAAGTCTAGTGCAAATTAACAAATGTTAGCATATTAACACTCTAACTACATGGTAAACGTTATAGCCGCTAAATATCAGCATGCTGCAGCGACACTAGTGTGGTTTGTCTTGTTGGGGGAGAGTTTTATTTTGATGGATAATAAAGGTGTGACGCGAGCATGTTAAAGATTTATCGCCGCGGTCTGTGAAAGGTGACGGAAAGTGCAACCAAACTTGCTATAATTTATAACAGTAGTTACGGTAGCCATTTGGTAGTAAGGTAACGTTAATGTCTTTGTAACGTGAGTTACAGTTACTTTACCAAACTTTAATTTACACTATGCCCACTACCTCGCAAGAGATCTGTGATTTCCTGTTTTGTATTACATTGTCCTGAGTGAATTGTGGCGAGACAACACAAAAAATAAGTCTGAAATAGTTTCTGGACAAATCTTTGTTCAGTCTTGGTCTTGAGAGTTTTGTCAGTCTAATTACTGTCGGTGTTGAATTGTTTGTGCTGGCTGTTGGACTTATTAAAGTTGCCTTGACAGCAGATCTGCTTTGTAAACAATTCAAAGCAGTACTAAAAAGAGCTGTTTTCTGTCCTCAGTGTGAGCCCGTGGGGTCGATTTAGCTCGACGAGCAACTCAAACTCTTAATGTGTTCCAGGGAAGATCAAAAATGGACTCGCTTAATGTCATTTTCATGACTGTGTTCTGCATAAACTTGTGCGGGTTTAGACGTCACATGGATGTATTTCTGGAAACGGCGTGGGATTCCTCCTGAAGAATAACAAACTGGTGAACCCAGGCTGCCCCAGCCTTCTGGGACGGGTTGAAACCTGGATATAAATAGAAGAATGCATCTAAGTTTGTTTTTCCCTGCTGTCTGGAATTTGTATTATTTAGGTTTTTGTCATTCGTCACTATGCCTCCAAATGCTCAACATGACCACAAAGGAACGATAAGTCCAGTGAATCTATGTATCATAAGCAAAACATTTTGCTTTCGAAGCGGCCATCTGTGCTGCGGTCTCTCTCAGTAAAAATCAACATGACTTCTGTCTCCTCCATCTATCTTCGCCTGCCTCCCACTTCTGTTCCTCCTCTTTACGCCTTCCTCTTCTCCAGCTTTATCCTTGACAATCTTGTCTCTATTCTTGGCCTGCTTCTCAGTAGGGAGAGTGATGTGACGTGATCAGACGGCTTCCGTGGACATTTATCTCGTTTAAGCTTGCCCGGAGCTCGCTCTATCCCCTTATAGCCACAGTCAGACACTCTTGGGTCAGCCACGACAATGTGAGCTGGCCTAAGGAGGCTAATGCCATTAGACCCAGTTGCATCACTGACGGATGTTATAACAGTCCCTGCTGCCCTGGAAAGTGAACCTAGAAATGGCGGGATGCCATCAATTGTCAGACTGGATTGTTTCACTTGAAAGAAGCTTCATGACTCCCTTCATTTTCTGTACTTGTTGACCTCCCCACTGTAGAAACTGCGTGTTCACCCACCCCCAGACAAAAGCAATCTCACACTCTTTAATTTAGAACTGGTCTCTAAGATGTCTTATCAGCTGCCGTAACACAAACGCACTGGTTTGTTGACTTAAACATTAACAGTTTATTTCAGTACAAGGTCCACCGACTGCCCCACATGCTGGGAGGCAGATCACAGAATATGTAACAGAGAAAGCATAGAGAGGAGATGAGTGAGTGGCACCCATGAGAACAGCAAAAGGAGTGTTTTATGTTTATTGATTCCGGTTAGGAAAATTCTGCCACTGTAGCTCGGGTCTTCTGGACAAAGTGTGATATTTTTGCTTCTCGGTTTATCAAACGACAAACAAGACGGAATCAATATCAGCTTGAATGAAGCGTAAAAGATCCCCTCCAGACATGTTTTTACCAGAACTTTAATGATGAACATCTATCCGTAGACGAAGGTAAAGAAGACACGAAGCGTAACTTGGTGATGTCTGTTTTTCTCGCTGTAGGTATAACGTGGGGTAAGGTGGTATCCATGTATGCAGTAGCCGGAGCCCTGGCAGTGGATTGTGTCAGACAGGGTCATCCAAGCACCGTGCACATCTTAGTGGACGGTCTGGGACAGTTTGTCCGCAAGTTTCTGGTTCCCTGGCTGAAGAGACGGGGAGGATGGGTATGTGACGTTTTTATTTTAGGGAACTTTCCCCACATGCTAAATAATATTTCTCATTTGACAACGAGGAAATAAAAACACTGCTTGTGTCATGTTTCTCTGGAGATTAAAACTGGCAACTTTCTGTTCTTCCACATCGCTTTTGCCTAAGCTACATCACTGATTGCGTTATCTTGTTTATGGATGAGAGCTCAGTTTGTGTACTTAAGCTCTGACAGTCAATTAGAGGGGAGTTGCATGTAAAATGTAGCTCACATACTGTTGCTTCCTGTTGGCTGATCTGATGCAAAGTTTTGCAGTGGGAACATTGGTTTCTGTGGCCCTCTCCTTGTTAAAAAAAAATGCATTTTTAGCTTTGTTTGGTACAGACATTCATGTCCCTCTGAGTGAATTGTAATAACGTTGGTTATTTTCCTTTACCACCATCATCAGGTAAAGATTTTAATTAGCCAAATACTTTACCTTCAAAACTAATGCCATTCCCATCAGCCTCAGCTGGAGCATGCTAACACGCTAACTAAGAAGGTTAACATGGTAAATATTTTACCTGCTAAAGCACTTTTTTAAAATTTTGATGCCCTTTTCCCTGAATTTGTTTTCTGAAAAGTGCAGTTTTTTTTCCTCTGATATTTTTATCTGGCAAGAAATTGAAAAAATTTCATTTTTTATGTTTCATTGTTGTCTAATTTAAAATATAAATTTCCTTATATCAGGCGGAGATGTCGAAATGTGTGTTGAAGAAGGAAGTGACGCCTCAGCACCACTGGCTGTCGTCTGTCATAGAGTCACTGAAGTACTTCCTCACTACAGTCTACGTCTACATCATGAAGGAGCCATGAATGAGCGCAGACCGAGTGCACTGGAGTCCTCATCATTGATGTGAGATTATATATCGCACACTTGTTGATAATAATAATAATAATAATGGATGGAGTCGAGATAGATGGTCGCTGTGCCTGCCAGCGCTGAATGGCCATCAACAAATGTTTCATGAGCATCGTGTTTGTGTCATTTCGGTTTCGGATACAGGATTACCTCCATCTAAAGAGTAGTCACTGTGATATTTATGAGCATGAATGGCAACGAAAAATGTTTGTGTCCCTCCACCGGTGCAGAAAACCTGGCTTTGTAGCTGTAATGTGTGTGTGTGATGGTTTTCAGGTTGCACTCCTGAGAAAAACTGTTTGATGTTCGTCTCAGTAAATATACCTGAAGGAATAATGAAAGTGAAAGCCACGTTTGTGATGAAAATTGATGCTCAGCTGGCTGGGTCTCTGAGTTTTCTAAATCTGAAAAGGACTGCTATCGCATGGTGATTTACCCGATTGTACTTCACTATGACAGCACGAGCAGCGTCTCTTCCAGAAGATGATTAAATTTTCTGCTGCAATTTTAGATGCCATTGACCAAGAAATGTTGGGTCTCATTTTTGGCCAAAGAACAACGGTTCTAACTGCATCCACATTAGTTTGGTGAAATCGATTTCCTTTTTTTTTTTTTAAATCTGTAAATATTTTTATCCATGACTTTTTAAAAATCTTTTTTATTTTGATTATGACTAACAATTGAAGTCACTGCAGTATAAAGACAACGGCTCTTCAGGATGATTGTGTGGGATGTCTGATCGTTGTCACTTCCAGTGTTAATTTATTAGTGTCTGAATGTTTTTTTTTTTGTTTTTTTTATACATCCTTAATAAACCTAAAATCTTCACGTGTATTTATTGTGCTAATTCTTTTATGATACTTAATCCCACTGTTCTGACACAGGGTTTCAAAGTGGAGGTCTTTTGCATGTCATACCTAACCTCTCAGACTTGATGCTGGAACACTGTAACGCTAGAGCATCAATAACATCATTCATGTTGATGACGCATACATAAATCCAGAGGGACAGAACAGGAAGCTTAAACATTAAGATTAAAATGGATGGAGACAAAGTAAAAACCAAAATAGGTGAAATAACTTTAATTCCTCTTATTGCAGCCTGTATAAGTACATCTACATGTATATGAACCACTCTACTGAACGACTTAAACCAACCTTGGACATTCTGCTGAGACACATGATGAAAACGTTTTAACACTCAGAAGAACTCTCCGTAGAATCTACACAGAAAACACTGTTCATTGAACCCAGTTAATTGAGCTTTCAACCTTAAAATAATGCAATGAATGTTAGAGATAAGGACACTGTACTTAACATTAATTCATCAGTGCTTTATAAGCTTTACAGCTCCAAGAATAAATATCCAGACCATACATATTAAGATAAGGCGAGCACCCATACTAAAGCAAGGCCCTTAAGTGCAATATGAATAGATTAAAGGTTTGCTGTGGAGTTTTACACCTCTAGTGGTAGTTTCACTCTGTTCCTTTGACATACGGGTGGTGGTAAAACACCAACATATAAAGAAATATGTTAGCAAAGGCAGAGAAGAAGAAGACTGTTTGCTAGTAAACATGGATGTGAACATTGACGTTTTGGAGAGTAAAGCTGAATGTAAACAAAGCTTTTGTTTTGTTTCCAAGAAAAACTCCACAGGGCCCTTTTACCTTTGACAGTAACATTAAATCTACACCTGTAGTGTCTTAAACAACGCCCAGTTATGATTGTATGTATTGTATTAATGCCATAACTCAAACTGTTTATATGATTATCTGACTAAAGTCCCCTTATTTGGGCAACATTTATCTTTCCTGACCAAAGTACTCCTAAGTACAGGAGGCCTGCCGACGGTAGGTGATGTGCAAGTGCTGCATCAGTGGTTGGTTGTCTGTTGCCATGGAAACTGTCTGCTCCAGCCTCCCATCTGGTCGGAGCTGAATCACTCGAGAAATCTGAAAGATGGGAGAGAGCAGGCGAGGTCACCGACACAAAAAGGAACAGAAAACATTTCATTGATGAAAGTAAGTTCTGTTCGTGCTCTGTGGGACTGTGTGGGCAGCGTTGTTACACGGATTTGATTTCATGACGCATTATCAGATTACAGCTTTACCTTTTGTACATGCGGCTCTCTGGCAAAAGAGACTCTGGCCAGCGCCTGGCTCTGCAGGTTCAGCTGCTGCGCCGTCAGCTCTCCCTCCTCGATCTCCACCAGACCTGCACACAAAGACACACTGGACTCAACACATGAACAGGAAAGTGTGTGTGCGCGTTTGTGTAGACAAGAGTTAGCCATCATAAACGTGTGTATACAATTTAATACCAATTTAATTTGATACGGATTATCTATATTTTTTCTAAGGAATAAGGTCCTAATTGTTTATCGGAAATGGTTTTAAAAAAGTGTAAATTGTTTGAGAGTAATTTATTACTGAATGCAAAACATAAAAACAGCAAAAAATAAGACAAACAGACACAAAGAGGTGTGTATTTGCCAAGTAATCATGTTTCTGCATCATGCCTGGAATATCACTATGGCCCTGAGTCGCATCTAATATAATGAATGCCAAATTCCATTGTGAGATACATTTTGTGTATCCCCATTAAGTGTCTGCTTCCCTCATAAAAACCTAAACACCCAGCCTCTCCACACCTGGAATGATTTTTTTTTTTTTTTTTTTTTTTTTTAAATTGCAAAATACGAGCATGAGCCTGGTCATCAGAAACGAGGGTACCTCCAGCATAAGTGTATGTAACTACCGGAGTTCTGTGCGATGATGAACGCCACTCTGTTGGCTCCCGGCTGCATTCGAATGAAGCCACACTCCCTGTGCAGAGGCTTCTTGGTCTCTGCATGGAAGGCGTTGAACCTGTCAAACACAGTAACAGCGAGGAATCAACTGAAGATTGATGGTGCACCTTTCCTACCGATAGGCTGCTTGATTTGGTATTTTAGCCATCAGTGGCGCTCGGCATAGGACAGAGGTAAAACAGGTGTGAAACTTTCAATCAGAGGCGGCATCAAAACACAGTTTTTTCAGCCCGGTGTTAATCCTCGAAGTCTGATTGCTCACAAAATAACCTACGTGAAGTTGATGACTGGTTGTCCCACATGGCTGAAGGTCAGTGTCTCCGTGTAGTGGAAAGGTTTGATGGTGGTAAAACAGCCCTCTCCAGGTTCATCCGACTCCCAGGTACCCAGCAGCCAGTCTAGAGGGAGGAGGGCTGGGTTCAGATCCGCTGATGCTAAAAAACACAAACAGTTTATGCTGCACTATCACGAAAACAGAGCAAAGAACTTTAATACGAGATGATGATGGGTGATACCAAAAATGTGATTAGATTCGAATATACTGATATTACTCAACATTAACAGGACGTTTGAATGTACTAATAAAGAAGAGATACATTTGATATATTTTGGAATAAATATGGATACAAATAAATATATATATCTATATACTAATAATAGTGTAAAGGTGGACAATAGTGAACTTTTCCATTTAAAAAGCATTTCTCTAAATCAACCAATAAGTGTTATTCATTAACAATGGCTCTGTTCTAATCAAGTGTCCCAGTAAGTCATGGCAGCGAGTCAGCACACACAATACCCGGACCTTGAAACTGAAGCAGCTAAATGGAGTCAAGCCACATTCATTTGATTATTTACACCTCTGTTTTTTCCAACTGTGACATGTCAAAAAAAAAGTCTTATTCTCTTGGATATGGATCTATAACCATTACTTGATCAGGTGATCTCACAGAGATCAGGATATCTTTTGCCAGAGAGACCCGAGTACAAACATAGCCGGACAAAACAGGACAATTAAGAACATATGAGCTGGCCACCTCTGCTTTTCAAAATAAATCAAAAGGACACTTTGATGCACTTCTGCCCATCCTGGGAGAAAACCCCTCCTCATTTGCTCTCCCTGAGGTTTCTTACTTTTTTTTCCCATTAAAGTTTTTTGGGGGAGGACAGAGGATGTCATATGTACAGATTGCAAATGTGAGGCAAATTAGTGAATTGAATAATATATTTTTGTTTAAATCAGACATCTTTTTATTTTTTTAGAACAATGTTTTTTTTTGATCTCATCTTTTATTAATCTCGTCTTTTCTTTCATTTAATTTGATCTCATTGTATTCTGAATAAAGTGTGACTGTAAATATCACAGTTATCAGAGTTTAATCATTTACTTTTATGAAAATCACTTTGTGTTGCATGAAATGTGCAACATAAATCAAGTTTACGATTATCGTTAATATTATCATTATCTAAATATTGCCTCACAATTAAGTAACTTATTCTTCACTAAAAGGAAAATGAACTGTGGGTTAACGCTTCATATCTTTCACTTCGGCAAACATAAATTAAAGTATATTCCCATAAAGCATCTCTGTTCTATATACACTGTATTCAAACAGCAGGGAGGCGAGGAAATGCTGAATGGAGGCGTGAGAGAGTTTAAATCAAAGTGCACAGAGGGTTGCTTCTCTCTACTTTTGACAGTGGGTGGCAGTAAAGTCACGGTTTGGTCGAACATTTGTCAGAAACCGGAAGAAGACGACTCCGCATGTAAATACGTAGGTGACTGTTTTTCATCGCACTCGTATAAATACAGAGATCTGTGCCAACAAGCCGTAGTTATCGATCTCAAACTCAGCACTCGTTAACATTCAACAGTCATAACATATACACGGCTCAATCTCTGGTGGCTGCAATTTGTTTATCACGGAAGCGACAGTTCTGGCACGTCATAATGTAATCACGACTATGATTTTGGTAATATCAGTAATGTTAATTCGGGATAGTCGGACTGAGCTAACGGCTTGCCATAGACTTCAACGGGCGGCTTCAGTTGCATGCATAAACATGGATGTATAATAATCATTTCAGTAAATTATTTAGCTACTACATATTGTATGAGTAACGTTAGTGCGAGTGAGCCTGTGGTCACTGCGACATTGTAGCTAGAACAGTTGACATTGCCTACATTCGTGCTTGTAATTTAAAATGTAACCATCATCCTACCTGTGTGACTGAAAGGACACGCCATTAATAAAGCAAACTGCAGGCGAGCGAGGATGAATGCATCAAATCAAACAGAGATTAAATGACACGAAATGAACAGTTCATCTGCGTCGGTGTTGCGCTAATGTGACGTAGTTTTTATATACGGCCATCGCAGTAGGGAATCTTGGGAAATGTAGTTCAGACAGTGCACATTTACAGACTTTTTGAGCTATTTCTGAAATCCCTTATACTGTTATCACACAATGAGGCAGGAGGAGTGTTTGATAAATCAAAGCACACTTTATTGACATCTTTCAGCAGCATGGAACATAGATAATATCAGCTCCTTGATTTCAAAACTATCCTACGTATACAAGAAAAGCACACGGCTTTAGGTTTTATAAAATCTCTGCAGTCAAAAGCACAGAAAAAAAATCCTTAACTTTTTGCACTGTTCCAGATAACCATCATGTGAGGACACTGAATATTTACTTTTTATTCCCTCATGAATGAGTACAGAGCGAGTCGCCGGGGGATCTGGTCTCTTAAACCTTGCTCTTTTTGCAGTTCGTGAGAGCCTCTGCCAGGGCATGCAGTGCCATGTCAGCATTAGTCTTCTCGCAGTTGTATCCCATCAATCCGATCCTCAGCACCTAATGAAAAGAGAGGTGGAAAGTGCAGCGCATCAGAGCCAGCAGCGACTCGTCGGCAAGATGCAGAAAGCTGTTAAGACACCCTACCGATGACATGGCCCTTTCCTGTTTGATATAGTTAAATTCGTTAATTTGAGACAATATGTGAAATGACGTCTGGATTATCTAGTTAGTTTAAGTCAAGATGTGAATTGGTATTGTGGGAATGAAGATGACCATTGCTTCATTATTCTATCCAGGACATTTTCCCTTTGCTAAGTGTTTATTTTTAGGGGAAATCATTTCATTTTTAAAACATAACCTTCTGCTGCTGAAGATGCTGAGACCGATGGCCACATCTAGAATATCTTGCGTAAAGAGCTGATGACCACGACCACAGTGCTAAAGCCATAGTTGATGTACAGAGTGGAGTAGCAGCAACCCACCATGCCGACGGTAGGGCCCAGGCCTCCGGTCATTTCTATCTGGTGGTGTTTCATGATGTAGGCCAGCAACTCCCTCCAGTTGTAGCCATCAGGAATGGCGATGGTGGTGACGGAGGGAAGCCTCAAGTCCTGCGGGACATTTCAAAATGAGTGGTCTTAACAGGGCAACACAGTGCTGTCTGATCGATTGTAGTACAACACAAACACTTCTGTTTCTAACAGATATGCTATACAGGGCTAAAGACAGTAATACTGATTATTTGTATGTTATATGCAAATTCTTGTTCAGTGTTGTTTATTCTTTTTGTTTTGTCTCCTTGCAGATACGCTCTTTGTTGTCCTGCTGTACAAAATGCCCAGTCTGCGGTTTTACGTCTATACCTTACCCTATCAGGAATGAAGAGCTTGAGGCCCAAGTCCTCCAGTCCTCTGTACAGGTAGGCTGCCACCTCCTTGTGTTTCTTCCAGGACTCCTCCAGCCCCTAGAGGGCGACAAAGATTGACGAAGTTATGTCAGAATCAGACAAAAAGTCAACAGGGGACTATACCAACACTGCCAAGTCAAAACAGCTGCACTATTAGAGGCAAATTCAAAGAGCTATGTCCAATTTCTGGCAAAATGAAAACACTGCTTCTCCCTCTCTTGAGATGTAATGATATGTTGGACAAAGAAGTCGATATATTGCTGCCAATAAAAGTGATCAGCATAGTAAAAAAGAAATCTGAAGTCTGATGGGTCCCCGGCACGGCCCACAATTTGTATATTATAGTTACTCTACAAGTTGAGATTGTATTTCAGTAATGTAACTACAAAAAGTGGTGAAATGATCTTTTACCTTCTCAGCAACAATTGCCAGACTCTCTCTCAGGGCAAAGAATCCAGACACTGGACCAGTGTGGTGGTACCTAAAACCCACAATGACACCCCACATATATAAAATGTATAATTATAACATTTCCAATAATAGTAATAAATAATCTAAAAATCTAATATTTTTTGGTCTGCCATTCTAGTTAAGTTACGGTTTATGTAGTGAAGAGAATGAGGATGTATTGGACTTACAGTCTGGCAGGTTGGCCATCACAACCCCAGTAGTTGGACAAATGTGTCATATCAAAGAGGTAGGATACTGGCTTTGTTTTCCTGTTAAACATCTTGTGGCTGTGAGGGAGTAACGGAGAGTCAAAGAGATGCTGGCTTGGTGTCATTTTTGTATGCGGTTGTGACACTTTAGGACTCATGGAAACATGCATGCAGAAGTTCCCTCCTCACCATGCTCTCTCGTTGAAGGAGATGGGTGCTGTGCCAGGAGGCGCATTCAGAGCCTTCTGAGAGCCAGTGTACAGGATGTCGATATCTGGGAGCACAATGAAAGACAGGTGATGTCACACACGCAAGCACATGGCAGCTTGTAACAGAATTTGAATCCATCGCTAATCGTTGCCTTACTTTGCTTGTCCATAAAGATTGGGGCTGCACCAAGAGATGCAACCGTGTCAACCAGGAAGAGGCAGTTATGTCTGTCGGAGATATATGACAACAGTGAGAAATATGACATGATATTTGGTAGTTACACAAAACCGTTTTGTACACAGTGTTTCAGGCGGGTACATTGGGAGGCTCACTTTCTGCAGATGTCTCCGATGCCGTCTACTGGGTGACAGAGGCCAGAGGAGGACTCTCCATGTGTGAGGAAAAACAGGACAGGCTTGTGTTTTTCTACGGCCTAGAAAATAGGTTAAAAAAAAGGTTTTTAAACACAAATGTGGGCTGATGGAATGTTTTATAGCTTTCGTAAGTTATGGGCTGCTACAGATACCAGGAACCTACCTGTTCAATCTCCTTATTGCTGAAATATCCTCCAGGTTGTTTTACAATTCTATGTACATTGGCACCTACAGACGGACAGACAGACAGACAGTCAGAGAATACACAATGTAAATTTAGCCGTGCATCTTCTTTGGAGACCCAATGGATGCCTGCGTAAAACCGTGCGTAAGGACGTACCAATTCTTTCGGCAATTTCTGCTACGCGCTCTCCCCAGATTCCGTTAATGGCGACAAGCACGCTCTCGCCGGGCTCCACCGTATTGAACACCGCACACTCCATGGCCGCGTGCCCGGAGCCACTCATAGCTATGGTCATGTTGTTCTCTGTCTGAAAGATGTACTGGATCCCTCGCTTGATGTCATTCATGATCTAAGAAACACAATGTTTAGCTTAATCTGTGACGGTATTGTCACCAATGACTTTCAGTGATTTCAGTAAGTGTGTACAGCATGCGCAATTACGCACAAAATGTTGGTCCTTGATTCCTTTGTAAATATTTATTTTGTCTATTTTTCATGAAATCTGGAAAAAAAACTTAATATGAATAATTGGTGTACCAAAACTTTCAAATTGAATTTAGTCTGATAAAACCGACATTTAAGTGGTGAAAAAAATATTCAACCAATTTTACCAAAATGCAAATACCACAATGTTAAATGTAGCAATAAAAGTAGCCTGATAATTATGTTTTCCAAGTATTTTAACCCAAACCACGTCTTCTCCCAAACCTAGCCAAGTAGATTTGTCGAGGAGATGTCTGGGTCTGAGGGTCAAACAAAGCGTTTACCTCATACATTTCTGGATGCAGGTGACCAATTATCGGCCTGCCCTGTGCAGCTAAGATACGTGGAGGAACGTTTGAGGGTCCCGGTCCGAACAGGTAACGCTGTGGCACTTCCAGCGGCCGGAGCATGCATGCTGGCGGCGGGATGGTGACTGAGGACATGGAGCGGTCCAGCCGCTGCAGAAAAGGCGCGCTCCTCGCGGACAGTGGACTGTCGAGGGCCACTGCTGCCTGCTGGGCGAGCAGCACGCTCCGGCTGAACAAAGCCCGCTGCATCACTCCTGTCGTCGTTCCTAAAGAAGCTTGCACCGAGTGGTATCACCACCGCCAGCCGGAGAGACTGAACCTCACTGTAAGATGTTGTTGAATGTTTAAAAGCAAACAGGTCTTTGACCTGTTGGCCACGGGGCGGTGTTGCTGACAGCCAACCTTTGACTCCAGGGTTTGTAATAAGGGACACAAATGGCAAATCATATAAGAAATTTAAAAAAGTGTGAGTTATATTCTGCATTTGTGGTTAATCTATATAAAAAGCAAAAAGCACTAACATTTAACTTTCAAAACTAGAAAACACTTAGATATCTTGTTTCCCATTAAGGAGACTGTGGAAACAAATCATGGTTAATTATTGTATTATCCAGCCAAAAAAGTTTCCACACGTCAAATGTCACATGTGTGTGTAAGGTTTATACAATATTTTCCCAGGCCAGTGTTTGAATTTAAGAAAAGTCTCGCCAACACAAAGAGTCATCAGTGTTGTTACAGTTTTGATCCACCACTGTTTTTGTGACTCATTCATTGTTCGGATTCATAACACTTGACTCTTACCTAAAAGTGAGGACACTTGGCAGCTTAGAACCGGTTTAGGTCAGTTTTCAGGTGGCTTGTTGATTTTCTCTGCCCCTTCAGTAACAGCAGCTTTGCATTTGTAAAGAGGAGTCTCCTCAGAGAGCCAATCTGCTCTCTTTGAGGAGGAGGGGGGGCAGGCACATATTTGGTCATATCTCAACTCTGTTCTGTTTGTTGTGTTTTCTTGTTTCAGATGTTTTTCAAATGAAATGCCTGAAATAAATAATTCACACAGTGGGCTCAAAGGTTTTTACACACAGGTAGAATAGAAAATGAGTAATTCAATTGGTAATTGTTTACAAATACAGATTGTGTCTAGGTCCAGCTGAGACTGGTGACAGCTCACAGGATGTCGGTGTGGATCTCAAATTGGATTGTATTTGTGCAATGTCTGAAAGAAAGACATTATTTTCCACACGGTTTGGTAGGATTTCTGTGAAATATGCACATTTGTGTGAAATATGCACATTGCCGAAAAACACCTTGAAAAAAGATCATGTTGTCAATCTCTGACCACTTCTAAGTGATCAAATTGTAATGTGTCCTCATTCCGTTTCGGGTGACACATATTTATTTTGATCTGCTCTGCTAAGATTATATGACTCCAGATTTATTTTAGTGTGTGTTTAGAGCCAGTGGAGATGCCATATTATTAATGCTGTTGTGGCTTGTAATTCTCAAAACATAGCAGGGAAGAGGGAGCAGAAGTAATTTTATAACCTCAATAATATCAATACATTTGATTTGTATAGCACTTTAAAAGGTACTCAAGGGGACTTTACATGGTAAAAAAAAAATCAATGGTGACTTCTGCTGGACGTGCAAATTATTTTGGGTCACCAAATAAACAAAACATTGATATTTTCTTAAGTTTTATTCGAAAACTCACCAAAAAAAACACACCACACTTAACATCACGTAAACATTAACATCAGCCAATTGTTCTGTGAATATAAAGTTATTAAAGTAGAATAAATCATTGAAATCATGTTTTTAGCGACGTTACCGATTGAAAGAGGTCAAAATGACACTTAAATCCAAACCATCCAGGTCAAACTTTTACATTAACAAAGATATATTCTGATCAAGGGTTATTTTGCTTTATTTTATGAACATCCCTACAATCTGACCGGGAAACAAAAGAGATCATTTTTACTCTTTGCCTAGTAGTATAGAATATCTCTCATATTGCGCCTGTTTCCAACTGCTGTGTCACAGCTAGCAGGATCACCAGAAGGTACCCCTCTCTGAGTCTGGCTCTGTAAATAATTATACCAGTGGTAAATAAATGTGACTCGCTGTTCTCCTCATACTGGCCTTTGCACTGGACTGAACACTCAGAATCTACCCAAACAGAGCAGGAGGAGGAGCTGGGGAGGGACAGACAACAGAGAGGCATGTTCACATTCATCCACAGAGGGCTTCATAAAGCGCTCTGTCAATGGCGACGCCATAAACATTCAGTTCAAACTTCAAAATGGGATGTACAAGACCATGGCCAATTGAACCAATCTCGTCCTAATTTAAATGACAGAATTATGCTTTTATTTTTAATTCAAATCCGGATTTTTCAAATGTAAATAAGACATACAGTGGATGAATTTAAATAATCCTATAACATCCAGTTTTTCACAGATCTAATGTTTTTTTAATATTAAACACCAAATATGTATGAAAGTCTTCATACTTTGTAATCGTTAAAACCAATTAGTAAATGTCTGACTGATTGTCACTATAGATGCTTTAGTAAAGGACAGTCTGTATGGATTATCATTCTGGATTATGATGATACTTAAAGTAACTGTGAGGAACTTTTAACTGGTTATGAAACAGTCTCAATTTAATACTGATGCATAACTTTCATAAGTAAAAGACACCATCAGCGAGAAGATGGGCTATAGTTATTCTTAATGCTTGTCATCGGTGCCACAAGGACACCATGCAGGTTTTAGCAGACGGTAGTAAAATGAGAGTCTTTTTAAAGGGAATCTGTTGCATGGAAACACAACTATTTCTGTCCACAGGGATCGCCAAAATCAATGCTAAATTAAAGTTTCTGACATTAGCTTGAACGTAGTAAACCAATAGTCAGATCTCCAATAAACATCCACACTTTTGGGTTGAACTAAGAAAGTACATCTTCATCTTATATGTTCATGTATCATTAAATGTTTTCTATTTAATATTCAGACATAGCAGCAAAACACTAGGCTTTTTGTTGTGTTAAGATGTAGTCCTGTAATGTTGTCCTCAGCAGAGAATGAAGTGCCTCCTTTTCTGTGTATGTTTTGACCTCAGTGTCTTTGTGCTTTGTTTAGCCTATATAGCCGGCCAGTTGCACGTGTTTTTCAGTGCGTGTGAGCATGCCCCACTGGCTAGCTCTTAGCTGCTACTCTGCACTGTTAGAACTGGTACTAGAGTATCTTAAGCACCACTCTCATAACATGGTTACAGCTGGCCGCCCTGACCGATGGTGTAATCGCTGGAGCTACCACCCACCCTCCGGTTTCCCCTGCAGGTAAACACGTTTATCTCTGTCTGTCAGCACTGTTGCCTTTGTTTAGAATATTAGCGCTGTTAGTACCGTTAACATTGGCTGCTAGTAGCTGGTGCTGCTTTTGGAATTAAAAGATTTTCTCTGAATTTCAAATTTGAAATTCTACTTAGTAGGAGGTCAGATAAACCCTAAGGGGCGCTGAGGCTAAACATTCACTGTGGCCATATGTTGTACCCTGTTGTCTCCATGTCCTCATTTAGTGCAGTCCAATCAGCGCTGGAATAAAACATAATTTGTGTTAGTTTGCAGTAAATTAATTAAACAATTGTATTATGGATGATGCATCATGTGAGCAGAATGTGAGCTAAAATATTTAAACTAGATATTGACTCAATGATTCTGTATGGCCACATTTGCTAGCCTAATAATGTAGGGTTTACATGCAGTTACATATTGTACTTTAGTAGTTCAAATTTGCACCTAAATGACCACAAAAATCAATTGACACACAAAGCACCTGGAGCGTTTGGACCTCTGGGGGGAAGTGGGAGACAGTTGGTAAGAGGTGCCTAAATGCATATAAGAATATTTGTCTCTCTAAGGTTTATTATGGTCCATCGCTGGGCCTCTCCCTGTGCTGTGTCTCTGTGCTGCATCGCTCTGCTTCATGGCTGCCGCCTGCTGCTGATGATGCTGATGCTGATGTCATCACCGCCTCCCAGCATCCCTGGCACAGCAGCGCGGCCATTTTCCCTATAGTTTCAGACTGACTGACGGACAGACAGGGCCGCTGGAGCGTCCCACACCCATCCTCCTGTTTTATCCATCCGGCTGCTCGCTCCTCCTTGTCTCTCACTATAGTCTCTAATTGACGCACCGCTGCGTTCAACGCTCTCCAGCGCTGCTAAAGCTGAGGCTGACTCTCCTTTCCGTACCCCCCGGCGGATTCTCCATGTATGGATGCGCCAAGGAAAGGGATGCTGTAGGCTGACCAAAGACTCAGAGAGAGCGAGAAAGAGAAAGAGAGAGAGAGAAAGAGACGAAAAATACAGGCTGCTGAGGAGATTCTAGAAGGAGGCACCGGAGGATCCGGGCGCTGTTTTGAATGGGCAGAGGATTCACCCCCTGCGATCGTCGAGTTTGAGTTGCTGAGGTAAGACACGGCTCCTTCGGATATGTTTCCCACTGAGCATCATCGCTGCTGATGGGTGTCGCGCCGTGGTGAAGACAGCGTGTGTGTGCGTGTTTGTGATTTCGAGGCCTTTTGTACATATGAGGCGGTAAATAAGGACAGTGCGTCAGGGTGTTTGATTCCGCTGATTATCTTTTAAAAGAATACTTACAAAAAACGACACTCCTACTCAATAGATAAATGATCTCTGTAATTGTCATTTAAACTCTCGTGATGTGTGCTGAGCTCCCCTCTGACGCAGTGTTAGATAATTTGGGTGTTTGTGCCGTTTATGTTTACGCGGCCTGTCTTTGAGGTGCGGCAGGCAAAGCAAGATGGAGGAGACAATATTTACATGGCTTATACAACTGTATGGTAAAATGTCCTCTCAAATGTTCTGAGAGTGTGCGTCATCCTCGCCTTCATCTGTTAGCCTCGATGTGTCATGGCTTATTATGAAGATGTTGAGGAGGAATTTTTTTTCATCGATTGAGGCAGAAAAGATGGAGGTGCGCGGCGCTGCCCTGAAGTACTAATTATAGGCTACCGTTAAAATCTCCCTAAATTAATCTGGTCATCAACAGAGAAAAACATGAAAGCCATCCATAAAGGTTTTAACGAAAAAAACAACAGTAGTAAGAGGCTGATTGTTGTAAAGATGCTGAAAAACACTACAGCCAGTTGTCCACATACAGGAACCTGTGTTGTTTTCTTTGGGGAGAAGCAGTGAGCTGATACAGTTTCATTGGCCCTGATACTTGAGGCCAAGGGATGATGCCAGAAGAATAAGCAGCCATTTTACTGTAGAATAGCAGGGATGCTGATGATCATCCTGCCAAATAACGTCCCAGCCATTTAGTCAGCGTGTTTTAGGAGCTGCGAGTCTCAAACGGACTGATTCACGGCTTGAAAATGGAGCATGTGTCTCAGCCTTAGCTGTTTGGTTCAACTTACAAGGCCCACTCTTTAATATTAAATTATAATAACAACGGCAGACCATGGATGATTCAAATCATCATTATTAAATCTGGATTTTTAGATATGTATCCTGGTCAAAGGTGTAATGAAATGTATCATGATGGAAAACAAAAGCCCCGTTTCCATCTGACAGGTTGGTCTGTATCCTACATGTTTCTGCCTGCAGCGGTGCTAAATCCCTCTTATTGTCTACCTGTGCAGGTGCCAGGTGTGTGTCTGTGCAGCCACACAGATCTTCAGCTCTCCTGCTCGCTCGCACACCCTCCTGCAACATGGCGGTGGCTTCAGTGAAGGTGGCGGTGAGGGTCCGACCCTTCAACTCCAGAGAGATTGGGAAGGACAGCAAGTGCATCATTCAGATGACAGGAAACACCACAAGTGAGTATGAATTCAAGTCATTTGTTGTGTATTTGTAGTTAAAAGTTATATTAAATCTGATGAATGTGGATTTCAATATTTCACTGTCATGGGAAGAAAATAAGTAACGTTCTGACTGTAACTTTCCTCAGTAAAATTACAATCATTAACTTTCTATATTTGTCCTGTTTTGGTTAAAGCCATCATTGAATTAGAATGTGTTTTGCACATTGTTACTTCTTCTGGATGTTTGAGCTTCGCTGTGCAGTATGACGTATAGAGTTGACAGAAGGCTGTTTTTACATTGATCTGCTGGAGGGGGTAGTTTCTCTGTGATCACCTCACATCTGAGTTTAACACAAAGATTATAGATTAAGATGGTACAAAATTCTACACAAAGGAGCGGAACATATATTGTTCATTTGGATGAATTCAACAAGAAAGAAACACACACTGTATGTAATCTGTGAAATACTGCAGTGATGTGTAATGTTAAGGATCAATAACACAGTGAAAACAGCGGACTGAAATATTAAACGCTCTATGTTAATGACAGAGAGCTTAAAAAAAGAAAGCATATGCACACACTCTTTTCCAGTCTGCTAACCCCAATCACAACGTGTTGATATAAATAATTGAGACAATATGATTACGCAGTTGTAAGGTCCTGTATCTTTTAAAGTCGTGGCTTTAGAGTGCGACACAAATGCAGCGACGTCCTGCTGCTCTTTTGATCATATTCCTGCGACCGACATTGAGCCAAGTTTAGCATTTCACCCCAGATTGTCTGGTATAGGCCGCTTTGCCCTGCAGCAACAATAGAGTGGGCCGGGAGGCATGCAGCATCATGGCAGCCAGAGAAGGAAACAAAAGCGCCAGTCAGGCCTGAATCCTGTCCGTGTGTGTGGGATGTAGCGACAGTCGCTGCAGGGACCAAAAAGACCTCCTTGTTCTGGTTGAGCCCAGACGCCGGGTCAGCTGATGCAAGTGTGTGTTTGCGTGTGAAAGACAAACACGGAGTATGTCAGCCTGTTGTGCCTGTCCGTGTTTTTTAATGACCTCATTAGAGCCAAAGATTCAAACTTGAATTATTTCAACTCATTAACTTCACTGACATCTCTCCGTCGTCCTCTTGTATATTTTCTGCATTCTGGTCACACGCGGTCCTCTAAAGGATAAGCGGGTGTAGCTGATGGATGGATGGTCACACATGTTTGCTTCTGGCTGAGTGGACCTTTCAGCAGGATGTTGATATGTGTGCTGCTATATTGAACTTGTCCACAGGGGGCGAAGCTGTGTGTTCAGTTTGCAGCCGAAAGAGCATCTGCTCCTGCTCAGTTCTTGTTTCATGTTGTTAGGTTTTTAAGAACAAAGGATGAAGGAGCCTGCAGGCCGCAGGTACTCTTCTGCTGCGAGCTTCTTACTGCGCACGCGCATCAGAAGAATGAGCTAGATCCGGTTCAAATTAAAACAATATTTAATGTACTACACAAAGTTCACTTACAAACTGAATTAACTATCAATAGTAATGTTCTCGAGAGCAGAGACCACATACACGCATCTCCTCACAGTCCGGCGCGGCCAGTTAGCTGAAAATGAGAGCTGCAGTGATCTGAGGTAAACTCCCTAAAACATTGTCTTTTGTATCCCCTGAGAGTCGGAAAGTGTCCGATACTGTCATAAAACGTGTGAATGATCCTCCGTGGCGATTAGTGATTGGCTTCATTTGAATTCTGTCCCCTCCCATTATCGATCCCGTAGCAAAACATCTTGGCTCCTCGCAAAACATCTTGGACTCCTCCTCTCTGTCCTGCTGGTCAGCTTGGCATTTGACCGTCCCACTGGCCCCATCCTCCATCGATGAGGTCGCCTCCATTTGCTGCTGCATGTCTGACACCTCACTCAGAATCCCTATCTGACCCTCAAAACTATTCTTAGTGTTTTAATACCTACAGTGACTATACTTCTATGATTTAATACATTCAATGAGTTAATATACTGTAACATATAATATCCTCTATAAGTAAGAATATTGTAAACCTATAACATATTCCATATGGAAACATATTGTGACTAACATATTTATTATTGTAACACTTCTACTCACCACTAGGGGTGTTATTTAATCCTACTAATAATGGGTTTAATACTGAAATTCTCCACAATGTTCTGCGTGCACGTCACCCCTCCCCTCTTTAAAATAAGGCTGAGTGGTGCTGCTTTTGTTTCTAACTGTAATATAGTAAGTCCTCTCTGAACCGTGTGTCCTTTCTCTCTCTTGAGTTGGAGGTGAAGTTATTTCAAAGTATTTCAATGACACGTCTCTCTGATGATGAGATTGTGACACATTATAAGCTGCTACCAAGAATTCAAAAAATCATAATGTAGAATATTGACAAATACATGCTTTAAGTTAAACAATATGGGATTACATTACTAATTATATATATTATTTCTTAGCAGTTTTTTGTTATTTGCACGTGAAGGGGACAGGGACATCAGTTTGGAATTAAATCAGGGACGTAGACATCACAGTCTAGACAGATTATATGAATCTTAACCACAAGTCAACAGTACTGGTCCCACAATTCCATGTTTTGGTGGTTGTAGTTCAGTTTTTTCCAAATGCACATAAAAGAAAAATGCATTCTCTCTCTATTGATTTGATGCATTTCTATCAACAGTGCATTAATCACAACTTGACTCTTAATGAATTCTGGATCTTTCTACAACTTTCTCTCACTTCTCAACGTTTGGACACTGAATGCAGATTTCAAATGAGAGTCTTCTGCTCACAATATTCTCATTGTTGTTTCCAATCAAGAGAAAACGTTACAGTATTTTCTTTCTAGACACCAGAATGGGATTTTTTCTGGTGTTGTTTTTGAGAACTTGACACCTTTTGGAGGCAGGAGGTGACCTCCTCGTCTGAAAAGTGAAGCCAATGTGGAAGTGCCTTAACAAATAATCCAATCAATAAATAAGGGGCAACGAGACAAATGGTGTGAGAGAGAGAATGTGTCGTATTAAAATAAATGTTTTTTTCCCAGTTTGCTGAAACTGACAGTAAGTGAACTGATGTGAAGGACTATGCAGGTAAGTAGGGTGACTCAGTTTCTGATGCTTCTATTTTACTCTGTTTTAGCGATCCTGAACCCCAAACAGCCGAAAGAGAACAAGAGTTTCAACTTTGACTATTCTTACTGGTCACACACCACGGTGAGTTTTACTGCGTCAGTTTTATAAATACATGTACTACTAGTCAGATAAGAAAATGAAGGATTTGTCCTAGATCAAGCCCCTAATAATTGATATGAGATAATATATTGATTCAAACGTTAGCATTTACCCTAATGTTGGAAGAAACAGGATTGTCTTTTTGATTTTCAAGCTGTGAAAAATAAAGTCTCTCTCATCTTCTCTCTTTCTCTCTCTCTCTCTGCAGCCCGATGACATCAGCTTTCACTCCCAGAAGCAGGTGTACAAGGACATCGGAGAGGAGATGCTGCTTCACGCTTTTGAAGGCTACAACGTGTGCATATTTGCATATGGCCAGACAGGATCGGGCAAGAGCTACACCATGATGGGACGACAGGAGCAGGACCAGCAGGGAATTATACCTCTGGTAAAACAGAATACAGTTCTGACCAATAATTAAACACACAATCCAATTCTCTTTTATCACTGTGAAAACAATACAAATAATCAACAATGCAACCTTTACCACATCAATTACTCTCTCTTTTATAGCTGTGTGAAGACCTTTTCACCAAGATCCATGGCAGCAATAGCGACAACAACATGTCTTACTCAGTGGAGGTGAGTGACGTCTATCTGTTGTGTTTTGTGTTCTATTTCCCACTGAACGTATACTGAATGACAAAGGTCTGGGGCGTGCATTTTACTGTTTCAGATAAATTAAGGGAAAACATTACAATTATTGTTGAAGGGCAGCTGGTATTATATTCGTTGCATCAGAATTCTCTAGATTTTTAATCTTTTATTCGACCGTGGAGCTACCAAGTAGTAATGATAACCGCTTAATGACTCGTAAAAACATTTAAAAACTCTGTGCCTGCTTCCAGGTGAGTTACATGGAGATCTACTGTGAGCGTGTGCGCGACCTGCTGAATCCCAAGAACAAAGGAAACCTGCGTGTCCGAGAGCACCCTCTGATGGGACCCTATGTTGAGGATCTGTCCAAACTAGCCGTCACCAATTTCAACGACATCCAGGACCTGATGGAGTCTGGAAACAAGGCCAGGTAATCAGAGCGGGACTGAATGACAGTGACGGACTCCTTAGATGTTTGTGTGAGTCGGTGGATGGAGAAGATACGCGGATGAGGAATTTGGATGTTTTTGTAAATGATTCAATGACTGGAACAAATGACGGATGGAGCAGATCATGTTTGAGTCAATAATATGCACCTAACACAGCATTTTTCCATTTTTGCAGGACTGTGGCTGCTACCAACATGAATGAAACCAGCAGCCGCTCCCACGCCGTCTTCAACATCATCTTCACGCAAAAAAAACACGACATGGATTCGGAGAATACCTTAGAAAAGGTTCGGACAAAAAGCTCTTGCCTTAGAAATCACCCAGTCAGACTGATGTTTTTCTGCTTCTCAGACAAACAAATCAATAAGTGGAATAGTTTTATTATTCTCGTTTCACCACGGAAGCATCAGAAGAGATGCTACGAGGCAGAACATATTTTATTGCCTTTTATGACCTGAGTGGAGGCCGTCTGCGGTGTGGTTATCTGAGGAACGTGTTGTTGAATTGATCGATAACACTTTACTGCCAGTTCTCCCCGTGCAGTTCCAGGTGAAATATGTTCGCTGAGGTGGATGTTTGATCTTTTGTATCATCACAGGTCAGCAAGATCAGCCTGGTGGACCTGGCTGGCAGCGAGAGAGCCGACTCAACCGGAGCTAAAGGAACCAGGCTTAAGGTGAGAGGGGGATACTGTTTTTAGGTCGTTTTCAATTTAATAATGACTCTTTGAACGCGGTATTTCCAATATAAAGAATGCATAAAATATATGAATAGATGGACAAATACTCAATAATATTACTCTATTATTTGCAGGAAGGAGCAAACATCAACAAATCTCTGACTACGCTGGGGAAAGTTATTTCTGCTCTGGCTGAACAGGTATGTTTTTTTCACACTTGTGAAAGAATATACTGTGACAAATTATTTTTATTTCATGTTGTCTGAATGACAAACGCTGCCATTTCTCTTCCAACTATCAGGAGTCAGTACCAAACAAGGTCAGTAATGCCAACACATTTGAAACTTCAAATGAAATGTATAGCCTACAATATTTAAAGAATATTTACAGATAAATTGTGCTTATTTTGTGTACAGAACAAGAAAAAGAAGAAGGTGGAGAGTTTCATTCCCTACAGAGACTCAGTTCTGACTTGGCTACTGAGGGAGAACCTGGGTATACACACATGATGATAAACCTTAGTTTTTACCCAAATAAAACACACTTTCTCTGTCAGTTTACCTAGTGTCTTACTTTCTGTCTTCTAGGAGGAAACTCTCGTACAGCCATGGTGGCTGCCCTCAGCCCTGCGGACATTAACTACGATGAGACTCTCAGTACCCTCCGGTGAGTAAAATGTATATAACCTCTCTTTTTCAAGATCATTAAATCGGACGTTTGTGCCTAGGAATAGCGTTTTGAAGATGATGTCACACTTATACTACATGTTCAACCCGTAGAAGAGATGTACTGAGCATTTTCTGAACACATATTATTAGCTTTGTAGTGTTGTATTATTTGTGTGCCTGTACAGATGCCTGCTAAACAGAGCACTGCTTTCACTTCCATGTTGTACTACACTCCTGCTTATGTACAGATCTCTGCATCAAAATAAGACGGGTCCGTATTCACGGGCATCTCCTAGAAACAAAATCAAATTCAACCAAAACTTTTTACCCCAAATTAAATCAACAGCGCACTGCTACATTCCTGCTGATTAACAAATCGTACAAATAAGCTTTGTCTTCACCGGACTGCAGCTAATTTTGGGAAGTCCAAAATTGTGATCGCAATTAATATTGGAATAGTTGTGCGGTCCTAACTTACAGTAGCTTCCTTCTCACTATAGGCCCATATTGTCATTAGTTGATCAATGTAATTCAGTATTGAGAGGCTGAGGAATCATGGTTTATAGCTAAATGTCTTCTTGACGTGGATGACCTCTGTCCCTTTAGGTACGCTGATCGGGCCAAACAGATCCGCTGTAACGCTGTGATCAACGAGGACCCCAACAACCGTCTGGTGCGTGAGCTGAAAGAGGAGGTGGCTCGCCTCAGAGACCTGCTGTTTTCACAGGGCCTGGGAGACATCATAGAGAGTGAGTGTCGCACAGAGAAACGCTCACTCAAAGAAAATGCACTTATACAGGCACACACACACAAACCTGAATCTAGACTCATTGTGCAGTTTTTTTCCGACTGTACATGTAAGACAGAGGATGACAGTTAGACTTGTGGGAGACGAAGAGTGTGGGTGTCTCTCACACTCATTTTCTTCTCTCCTCTGTCCTATCAGCGTATCGCTGCAACGGTCCGGTCGTCGCTGGTTTGAAATGTGTGTATAACTCGAGCAAGCCTGCGCTTTGCAACTAATAGAAATGAATCCTGAGCCGTCCTTCCTCCTCCACCACACCAGAGACCTAACTAATAAGGCCAAGAGACTATATGTGAAGTCAGACATGACATGAATTAAGTGAAATATATTCAAATCCTACTTGATTCTTTAGAGCAACACAATAATAATCTATGGTTGCTGTATTAAGTCAGTCTTTTCTCAGGAATTCTGCAAAATGGCCTCCTTTTTTCTTTCCATTTGTTGTAGTTTTCATGGTAATACATGATTTTTTCTCTCTCATTTAATCTGGGGTGTCCAGCCGTTTAATACTTTCATCCTCGTAGCACAATTTAAAATTGGCTGGGATTTCTGAGAAACTTTGCTCTGTGATCCTGTAGCCGTTCATTAAGAATCTGAATAGCCAGACTCTTTGCATCTGAAAAAAAGAAAAGAAAAGCAGACAGAGTCCAAGGATTTTGTTTCACGAGACTAGTGATGATGGAAGAAAGCACTGACTGGGAGGACGCCATTTTAGATTGCTGACGAACTCCCTTTTTTTGCATCCTGGTTCTCTGTGTGTGGAGCTAATTGAAGCTGTGAGTCAGGTGCTTAGAGGCCTGCATCTCCGAGAGCTGTGCTACCAAAGGCTGTGCTGAACTCTTTGAACACATTAAGACATGGAAAACATATGAAAAAAAAACTCAGGCTGTATTTGTTCATATTGTCATGTATATATTTTTTCTTTTATTTCTCTTGACTATCTCATGCTTGCGAGCTTGTCGAGTGTGTCGGAGATAAAAAAAAAAAAGCTTCTGGTCTCTAACTTTCAGTTTATTTGGCATTTTGTGCTCTATCAGTTTGAGTTTCTCTTTCCTCTCTGTCTGCGATGGCTTTGGGGAAATGACGTCTGCTTCTTTGATCCATTATTTGAGCTTTCTCTTCTTTTTTTTGTACTCCTTCCCTACCCTATTTATTTCCTTTTTATCTGCGTGTACCTCTCAATCCCTGATGTCTCTCCTTAATTACCCGGCGTCTGCTCCGTCCTTCCGTCCTTCTGTCCTTCTGTCCTTCTGTACTTCCTTCCTTCCTTCCTTCCTGGCTCACTTCCATGCAACGCCTCTCTCTCTGGCAGACCTGTGCGATTACAAGAACTTTGTGAATAATCGCCAGGCTGTCAATCAAGGGGGTGATCTCTCCGCAGTGTCCAATGCCATGACAGGAATGAGTCCCTCCCCCTCGCTCTCGGTCCTGTCCAATCGCATCGGGACCATCAGCAACCTCCATGACCGCATCTTCAGCCCGGCCAGTGAAGAGGCCATCGAGAGGCTCAAGGTAAGAAGGGTGATGCTGAAATTGTTCAGGAAATGGTAGATTAGATATGGGCTTGTGGACGGAGATATTTTTAGATCTCTGTCTTAATTTTGCCAACAGGAAACCGAGAAAATCATCGCAGAGCTCAATGAGACTTGGGAAGAGAAGCTGCGGCGTACCGAGGCCATCCGTATGGAGAGGTTCGTCAAACATATTCATGCATAATTCATATCAGATTGCTCTCCCCTATAGAAATGTGTATTTATAACCTACATTAATCAATTACATGGTAAATGGACTTGCCTTTCTAGTCTTCCGACACTACATGTCGTTCAACCATTGACACCCATTCATACACTGATGACGGGAGCTACCATGCAAGATGCCACCTGCCCATCAGGACTATCTAAGCATCCACTCCCATTCACACACCGATGCTCTACCTTCTGAAACACAGTCGCCCCTAAAATTACAGACCTTATAAAAATGTTCCTTTGCTATTAATAACCTAGCGTATCATCTATTCAAAGGAAGCATTGTCCTTCATCAGCATAACACAGTCAGTAAAGTCTGGTCTGCTCTTCAAGTGATGAAGAATAATTCAAGCTACAGTGGTGGAGCCCGTCAATGCTTTACCAAATTGTGCTTTAGATATTCCTGCTGGTATTGGACTACCTTTGATGAATGGACCCTTGAGCAGAATATGGGCGTATACGGTCTTAAAGGATATGCTGTGTTGTTGGATTGCCAGACTACTTAGAATGTATAAATACACCATATTTTTAGCCGAGCTTGTGATTGCTTCCTGTAGAGAGGCCCTGCTGGCTGAAATGGGTGTTGCCATGAGAGAAGATGGAGGAACTTTGGGCGTCTTCTCCCCGAAAAAGGTACCAGGCTCGTCACTGTTGCGCAGTAGTTTGATACATTTACAGCATCTGTACAAACACACAAACACTAAAACATATTTGTCATTATTTCCCTTTCAGACGCCTCATCTGGTGAATCTGAACGAAGACCCGCTGATGTCAGAGTGTCTGCTGTATTATATCAAAGACGGCATCACCAAGTAGGTTTTAAAAAATATATACATTTTCAATTTTTGAGATTTAATCCAGAAACTGTGCTGTTTCTGTGAATTTGTCTCAATTGTTTCACCTTATCTCCCCTCAGGGTTGGCCGTGAAGATGCCAAGTCTCGCCAAGACATTGTTCTCAGCGGCCATTTTATCAGAGATGAACACTGCACCTTCAGCAGCACCACGAGTCCTATGGGAGAAGGTAGAGGCTGGCTGCTCTCTCTTAAGATTACAATGTTGAATAAATGTTGTAACATGTAAATACATATTGAAGATGAAGACATCCATATTGTATATATGTCAAAGTCTTTGTTGTAATAGTTCTATAATCTTCTCTTGAACAGGATGTGTCATCCTGGAGCCATGTGAGGGGTCAGAGACGTACGTCAACGGGAAGCGAGTTAGCTCTCCCACTGTGCTGCGATCTGGTACGTGAGAAGGTTCATATTATTTTGTTACAAAAGATGTAAAACAAAGTAACTGTACCAAGAGAGTAAACAGAAAAAAATGTATCAGGAGGAAGAGATAAGTCTGTGTCACATTTTTTGTGTTTGGAAATAAGGAAAGCTTTAGTATGACAACAGAGGTCTAATCTGTAATTAATGTCTTTTTTTTGTTAATGCTAAAACTCTCGTGTTTTCCTGTGCACTTTTCAGGGAACCGCATCATCATGGGAAAGAGCCACGTGTTTCGCTTCACCGACCCGGAGCAGGCTCGTCTGGAGCGAGAGAAGACGCCGTGCGCTGAGACGCCGGTTGAGCCCGTCGACTGGGCCTTCGCTCAGAGAGAGCTGCTGGAGAAGCAGGGCATCGACATGAAGCAGGAGATGGAGCAGAGGTGCATGGAGAACACATCATCATTTAATTGCATTTAATTATGTTACCTTTCTAGCATAGAGTTTTGAATCTCTTTCAGGCTTCAGGAGCTCGAAGATCAGTACCGCAAAGAAAGAGAAGAAGCCAGTAACCTGCTGGAACAACAGAGACTGGTGAGTGAATAGAAATATGGTTTATTGTTTATTTGACATTTTATTTTAGATTTACCATTTAAGGTGCCTGATGAAAAGAAATAGCAGTTTTTAATCTGAATCATGTGTTTTCTTTCAGGACTATGAGAGTAAACTGGAGGCTCTTCAGAAACAAGTGGACTCCCGGTACCTGGAGTCTCCTGAGGAAGAAGAGGAACCCGAAGAGGAAGGTGATACTGTCACTTTTTAACTGACTCATCAAAACAATCATCTCTGTATCAGGCTTTTATCTGGCCAGAATGTACTCACATATCATGTGCCTTTCCCCCTCAGTGCCGTGGACGCCACGTGAGACTGAGTTGGCTCTGTGGGCTTTCAGGAAGTGGCGTTTCTACCAGTTCACCTCTCTCAGGGATCTGCTTTGGGGCAACGCCATCTTCCTCAAAGAGGCCAATGCCATAAGTGTGGAGCTAAAGAAAAAGGTGGGATGTTTGTTACTGTAAAACATTGTCCTTATTCAGCCCTGTGAGATCTGATATGTCATGTGTCATGTGCCATTCTTATTTTATACATTTTACTGTATAAAACAGACTGCAGAGTGCAAATATGGCATAATGTGATGCTGGTGATGCTAGAGGCAGACTGCATGTTATTAAGTGCCAGTGGCCATTCTGGATTTACCCAAATGATTTAGCCCAGTGAGTCATCACAATATAACACACAGTGCTGCATATTAAATGTGAGCTCTGTCCAGTCATCCATCTAATGAAAGGTGCATATGACGAAGCATTTTATTCAGCCAAAATGAAACTCTACTGCTTCAGGTCTCACTCAGGTTTTGATTTTCCATAAGCAGAAAAACATTTTGCTGACAAAGGGGATGGCATCTCATGTCGCCCACTGCTTGTAGAAATGGTGTTGTTTAATGAAGACAAACATTCCCATATCACTCTTCTTCTTTGTTGTGGTGATAAAAGGCGTGGAATTTATTTTGCACGTGTAACGACACGATACGATGATACGATGCAGGAGCATATAAACCAGCAGCAGTCACTCATGTTTTATGTCTCATGTCGGCCACAGGTTCAGTTCCAGTTCGTCTTGTTGACAGACACTCTATACTCTCCCCTGCCCCCCGACCTGCTGCCCCCGAGCATTGCCAAAGAGAGGGAGAGACGACCTTTCCCCCGAACCATTGTCGCCGTTGAAGTGCAAGATCAGAAGAACGGAGCCACACATTACTGGACTCTAGAGAAACTCAGGTACAGTGGTTTTGTCATCAAATAAAAAGTAATTACAGGGTTAAAAGCTCATTCCACGGTCAAGGTCTGTTTATTCACCCATCATGAAATACATTATGGAATACATTATCATGGAAATGTCACATCCTTATCATCTGATGCTGATTTATATAATATAATATAATACAGAAAGAAACTAAAATACAAACGGTGGCTGTTGATACATGCATTCTATTAAAGAAGAATACTAACCACTCTCTAATGGTGTCTTCTATAATATCTGTTTGTATTTCATCTCTGTCTTTAAATCCTGTTTTACTCTATTCATTTATCTTTTTCTTTTCATGCTGCCCCCTGCAGGCAGAGGCTGGACCTGATGAGGGAAATGTACGATCGTGCTGCAGAGCTCCCCAGCAGTGCTGTGGAGGACTGTGACCACGCTCTGACCGGAGGCGACCCCTTCTACGACCGCTTCCCCTGGTTCCGTCTTGTCGGCAGGTACGTCACCTCCCTCCCACCTGGATGCTGTATTGTTTCAAAACTCTGCTCTTTCTTTTATTGTGCAATAAATCATCACTTCCTACCTTCTCCTCAGGGCTTTTGTGTACCTGAGCAACCTGCTGTACCCGGTGCCTCTGGTACATCGCGTGGCCATCGTCAGTGAGAAAGGAGAGGTGAAAGGCTTCCTCAGAGTGGCTGTGCAGGCCATCTCAGGTACAAATAGAGGTTGAATATCAGTCTTGTCACAGTCGGATGCTGTTGAACATGTTGTTGTAGCTGTTCTTTTGTATCAAGAAATCATAATATAACATCTTATCTCTCTGTTCTGTCCCCATTCAGCTGATGAGGAGGCCCCTGATTATGGCTCTGGTGTGAGGCAGTCAGGCACTGCCAAGATCTCCTTTGAAGATAAACAGTTTGAGAAGGTACTCATCGGATGGTGATTAGTACTGGTCTTCTCTGAATGTGTCCTGTGCAACCAATAAAAGTCAAATATAATTTAAGCACAAGTGTTTTAAAAAAAAAAGAGAGTTGGAATTTGAATTTCTTTCTGAATGTAAATGTTCGGTGTAAATGGGATCCAGGCTGATTGTTTTCCATCTTGTTCCAGTTCCAGACTGAGTTGTGTCCTGGTGTTCTGTCCCCCATCAACTCCTCCTCCGAGGAGCTGCGAATCGTGGAGGGCGAAGGACCGAGCGCAGAGATAGGAATCTCTGCCGATGAAGTCAACAACAACACCTGTCCAGGTGAGGTTTACCCCACTAATGTTCATGGTACACCAGAGCTGAAATATATGTTTTAATTGGAAGTAAATGTATCTAAAAAGTTTTAATCCCAGACACGTGTGTTTTCTTGTAACCATCATAGAGGCTCCCCGCAGCCCAGTAAAGAGCTCAGGTCGGGATCTGGATCTTCCTCTGGACCTCTCCCCGGAGAAAGCTCTGTCCCATCTGAAGATCGGCAGCACCTTCACCTTCAGAGTTACCGTCTTACAGGCCTCCAGCATCTCAGCCGAGTACGCCGACATCTTCTGCCAGTTCAAGTGAGTTTCAAGAACGTCTCCACCAAAGTCCTGTTAATAATATTGTCTATCTGCTACACATTTCTTACTTAATGCCTCTTGTTTTTTGTCAGAATCCATTTCTGTAAACAATAGATCATATAATTATGCATGCACATTTACACCTCTTAGAAGCATTGTTGTTAAAGCTCATATCACATTGTTTTGGCACTAAATAATCTGCAGAAAAATTATCTCAAAAAGATGCCAAAACAATGAGTTCTTTAGATTTGAATCACCAAGTTGTAGTTGCAGATGCTGCACAAGAATGAAATCAATCAATAATGAAATGAACACAAATGTTCAATGATTGAATGTTTGTGGTTCGTGGCAATTATCAAAATGACCAGTATGTGAGGTGGTCAGCCTGATGCGTTTGGTTGACATGCTGTGCAGGGAGAGCAAAGGGAGGTCAGTCTTACATAACGGCTTTTCACTTTTTTTAGCTTCATCCACCGCCATGACGAAGCTTTCTCCACTGAGCCGCTGAAGAACACGGGCAGAGGACCTCCGCTGGGCTTCTACCATGTTCAAAATGTAAACAGTGAACATAACATTCACACCTATTATTAGAAAATATTTCTGATTTACAAATAGTTTTCTGAAGGCTGTTTGAGTTGTATTCTCTCCCTTCTCTGACAGATCACAGTGGAGGTGACAAAGTCCTTCGTGGAGTACATCAAGACTCAGCCCATCGTCTTCGAGGTGTTTGGTCACTATCAGAAACAGCCTTTCCCTCCGCTCTGCAAAGACCTGATCAGGTCAGGAACCTTTAATTTCCAGCCGATGACTGGTTGTGAGGCGATATTTTTAGATGGAAAGAAAGTTTCCTCATGTTTGGTTTCCTTTGACTTGTCTTTTTAGTCAGCTGCGACCTTCCAGGAGGCAGTTCCCCCGGGTGATGCCCTTATCCAAACCAGGTCAGCAGTGACATTTAATGTGTCTCATTTAATGTGCCTCAAAAGCTTTTATTTATTAACGATATGATCTCCGCGATCTGCTCTATTTTCCTGAATTTGATATTCACTGCAGTTTAGTTAGTACAGGCTGGTTTACTCAGTCTCGCACATTAATCTGCTCTCTCTTTGTTCCTCCAGTGCCGGCCACAAAGCTCAGCACTCTGACTCGCTCCACCGCAGGGCCTTGTCACGCCAAATACGACCTCATGGCCTTCTTTGAGATCTGTGAGCTGGAGGCTAACGGAGAGTAAGTTGCATCTTTATGGCTGTGTTTCCACTTCACTTCCATAAAGCAAGAAACATGAGATCATGCTGTGTTCAAGAAAAATACTATGTATTCAGATTCTGCAGTGAATATTATCATTTCTGTTAAAACAGTTGAGTACTAACATTTAACACATTGATTTTTTTCTTTTCTTTGCTATAGCTACATCCCAGCTGTTGTTGACCACAGAGGTGGGATGCCCTGCCACGGCACGTTCCTCTTACATCAGGTCTGACATGTCACACCAAATCACCAGTTTCATATTTATATACTCCATAGAGAGTGTTGAATATCATGAGCTTTGGATAAATCATTTTCCAGATTGTCTTGTTCCTGTATCTGTCATCCAAACATCTGGGAGAGAACTTGTTTTAATAGCAGTGTTAAAGTTTAAATACCTGGGAAGATTCAAGCCTGGATTTTAGCCATTTTAGCCTGGAATGTTTTTTTTTGTCTTCCCAACTGGAACTAAACCAGTACAAAACTGGTTTATCTTCTCCTGACTCTACAGGGCATCCAGAGGAGGATCACAGTTACCATCGCTCATGAAACAGGAAATGATATTGAGTGGAAAGAGGTGAAGGAGCTGGTTATTGGTGAGTGACAAGGACAATTTAAAAACATGTTTGGCCGAGTTGGTTAGATTCTAGTAGGAAGAAATCTTTAAATGTTCAGTTTTTCAAACCGGATTGATCCCAACATGACTTGTTTGACTTCAGGCCGTATTCGAAACACACCAGAGGCTGATGAGACCATCATAGACCCCAACATCCTGTCCCTCAACATTCTGTCTTCTGGATACTTCTGGCCAAAACACAACGACAAGTATACATTTTAGACTGATCTTTAACTGTTTCTTTTTTCTCTCTCTGTGTATTTGCTGTTTGATATTCCATAACAGTTACCTCTATGAATTAATTAACTCAGCTGTAACATAAAGTCAGATCAGTTACTTTGGTTAGTATTTTTAACATTGCTTCAATGTGCCTTTTATAATAAAATACTGTTTTGGCTTCAATGCGTTTTTCCGTTTGCATGGATCAGTATGGTTTGCTGAGTTCAAACTTTTAACAGCTGCAGTTAAAAGTTTCTAACTCGTGTCCTGTTTCTCTTCATCCTTTGCTAACACCAGGGTCTCCTTGGGAGTTGATGATAGGTATAAATGACAATCATTTAAAAAAATCTTTTTCATCAATTATTGTTTCCGATAACAAAATGGCGAATTTCTGACAGGCTTTTCATGAGCTTTACACTTTTTTTTTTAAATATGCAAATAAATGTATGTTTTTGACATTGCAGAACTTTCTACCGATTTGAGGCAGCATGGGACAGCTCCATGCACAACTCTCTGCTTCTGAACAGAGTCACTCCCTATGGGGAGAAGATCTACATCACCCTCTCTGCTTATCTAGAGGTACAAAGACTGTCGACTAAAACGTTCCGTCAACGCTGAGCATAAATACTTGTTTAAAACCAAGAGCCAAATTATAACCAGACTCTTCTGGTTGCTGTCTTATATTTAGATGGAGAACTGCACTCAGCCAACAGTGATCACCAAAGATTTCTGCATGGTGTTTTACTCCCGTGATGCGAAGCTGCCGGCCTCTCGCTCCATCAGAAACCTCTTCAGCACCGGCTGCCTCCGGCCCTCTGAGAGGTACCGATTTATGGACACAGTCTGAATCTTACACTTATTCTGGACTCTGGATCTCTCAATCTAAGAAAGGCGCTCAATGAAATTGGCAGTTAAATGAATTCCGTCTCTCTTCTTCTTAGTAACCGTGTCACTGGCGTCTATGAAGCCACTCTTTGCCATGTGGCGGACAATGGAAGTCCAGGTGAGACCGAAATCAAAGAAAAATAATCAGCAAGAATTACGATAGCATTTCCTTTTCAACTAGTGTTTGTATTTGGGTTTAAAATACTCACAGAACATCTTTTTCTTCAGGCATGCAGCGTCGTCGCAGGCGTGTGCTGGACACCTCGGTGGCGTACGTCCGAGGAGAGGAGAACCTGGCTGGATGGAGGCCTCGCAGCGACAGCCTCATCCTGGACCACCAGTGGGAGCTGGAGAAACTCAGTTTACTGCAGGAGGTCAGTGTGTTGACTGAATAGGTTTGTTAGTAAGATGACATCTAGACAAGATACATTATATTGTCACTGGAACAAGTGCAGCTTATTATATTTGGATTGAGCCTCACAAAGTCCATCTAAACCCTTTTCACAGCTTTGTGGTAATACACTCTTTAGGTGGTCCACTAGGTTTTTTAATGGTTAATTGAACCCAAGAAGTAGAACATTTTTCTTAATCTTTCATTTTATCTCAAATCCAACATCACCAAACTTGAAGATACAGGGTTTCCACTGGACAGGAATGAGGTTAACGATGGCTGGATTAGGTGATGACATATCTCACCTTTCAAATCACCCCAACCGTGTGAACATTTATTCAAACCAGGTGTTTTAGATTACAAATGAAGAATGACTGCAACTGCACAGCCCAATATCAATATTGTCTGAACAGTTCTCTTCGTTTGAATCTACAGTACTTGAAATGTCGCCAGTCCCAGTCAAACGCCCTGCGAGCCTTTCCGTACCACAACCGTTGAAGTCTGTATGCGCTCGTGTTTTTAGGTGGAGAAGACCAGGCACTACCTGCTGCTGAGGGAGAAGCTGGAGGCGACTCTGCTGGCGGGACAGGATGCGCTCTACAAGAGCAGCGACATCAGCGATTTTGCAAAGAGTCCCGTCCTCAGCCACAGTCCCGGCAGCAGCCCTGCCCTCGACAGCCCCAACCAGAGGCAGAGGGAGCTGGCTGCCAAGGTGACTGCTGCTCCCCGGGGCCACCAGTCAACTTTTTTCACTTGATTTTTTTTCAATCAGTTACAGTTTTCATTCAACATCATCTGTGTTTTCACTTTTTTCCTTTCCAGTGTCTGCGTCTGCTAATGCACACCTTCAACAGGGAGTACAGCCAGGTGAGCAGCAGTGCCAGTGAGAGCAAGGTGAGCCCCAGCCTAGGCCCTCTGACCCGGCCCGTTAATCCTTCTGAACCTTTAGCGTTTACCGCTGTACCCTCACAAAATATTTAAGCCCCGCCCTTCAACCACTCTCTGCCATTCCATTCACTCCTTATTCAGTCCTTTTTCTGTACAGATTCCTTTATTTTTCTTTCTTTCTTCCTTATCTCATCTATTTCCAAATCACTCTGTTGTCTTAACCTTGTGTCTTATGTCTTTATAATCATTCAGTAGACTGGGGTTAAATATTCTCCACAAATAATCATTTCTTCAGCTTCAACAAGAAACAATTTTTTCAAGATAATATCGACTCAGGTTTACTGCAGATTTAAAGCCATGCATCCATAACTCATACCTATGATTTAACATTTCCCCTCGGACTCATCCCTCACTGCCCCCCCCCCCCCTTAAGTCTCTGCAAGGCTTCCACTAACCTGATGCTTCTCCTGCATGTCCTCTCTAACATGTTAATCAGCAAAGGGGCTCTTACGTAATGAGAATTACAATAGTAAAGAGATGGTTTTTACAATACAATGCAAGAAAATGACAAATATTCTGATTGGATTGTTTTCTGAATGCACGTCTGTGTTGTTTGTGCTTAATTGTTTGCTGGTATGTTTTGTCTGTACCTGTGTTTGTCCCTTTTGTCATGTGCGTGTGTGTGTGTGTGTGTGCTTCTCCATGCGTGATTTGTTGTGAACGTGTTGCTGTGTGTGTGGTTGTGTGTGCGTGTTTTAGCTTTCTGAGATGTCTGCGTCGCTAATGAGCAACTCCTCGTCTGGACTGAGCACGCTCACTCCGTCCTCTACCTGCCCCTCACTGGTCGAGGGAAATTATGACATTAGGTATGTGAATACGTGCAGTTACTCGTCGCAGTATCAGTTTAATACTATTGGTCTGTCCTGTTTTAGATACTTTGCTACACTGTGCCTGAGAAGATAAATAAAGTAAATGTTGTGTTTCAAGAAACATTTAGTGTCAGTTGTAATCAAGTGATAATCTGCAAATGTCCTTTGATTACAGTGACTTCTTTGGTGATGCAGTAGACATTTTTTCTTTGCTGTGCACCAAAATTTTCCTACATTTATTTAAAATAACAAACATTGTTTTTGCTGCCGCTGGAGATTTTTGTCCAGGAAAAGTAGGTTACCCTCATAGGTGTATTCAATTTAGCTTTTCATATGCTAAATATTTCACTTGGTGATATCATTATGCAACTAACATTTGCAATAAAATCTTTCAGTGGTGAAAGAAGTATTCAAACGATTTACTTCAGTAAAAGTAGAAATATCCCAATGTAACAAATACTGGTCTGAGGTCCTGCATTCAAAAATCTTACTTAAAGTAAGAGTATAGAAGTATGACCAGAACAATTGGGTAGTTTAATCTCTGATAATATATCATATTCTATAAACTGGTTAGGTTTTGTATTACAAATCTTAATCTGCAAAGAAACCAGTATATACAGCTGTGAATTAATTGAAATGTAGTGGAGTGGAAGTATAAAGTAGAATAAAATAAAAATACTCCATTCACTCATAGCTAAGACATTGTAACATTTTTTTTTTGTAGTGAATTAATAAGAAGAATATGTTTTTAAAGTCAGATTTACAGGCTGAGACATAGTGCTTTGAATGAAACCGTGTTCCTTTTGTCACATTAAGAAAATCTTGTTTATGTTGTGTAGACACACTGAACCCAGTTCAGGAGCGTCCACACCAGATCTGGACCCGTACAGCCCCGTGGACAGAAAGAAAGCTCTCAGAGGATGCACCTTTGTTCCTGACATACAGGAGATCCGTGTCAGGTCAGACCACGCACACAATACTTGATTTTGAATCACTGTGGAGAAAGCTAACCTTTTACTTGTAAATGGCAAACACTATTGTTTTTATTTGGGGAACAAGCATCCTTTAAGAAAAGTTGTATTGATTTTGTCTTAACATTAATATTTATTTCATCGTGTGCAGCCCCATTGTGTCAAAGAAGGGTTACCTGCACTTCCTGGAGCCCCACACCAGCGGCTGGATGAAGCGTTACGTGGTGGTGCGCAGGCCCTACGTCTACCTGTACCGCAGCGAGAGGGACAGCGTGGAGAGAGCTGTCATCAACCTGTCATCTGCGAAGGTGGAATACAGTGAGGACAAACAGACCTTACTGCGGGTACGACCGAGCTTCAGTTCGATAGTAAAACACAGTTTTAGATGAATTAATAAATAGTAACACACTGAACCTGAACGACCTGAAGTAACCTCATGTCTACAGACACCCAACACGTTTGCTGTATGCACTGAGCATCGTGGAATACTGCTGCAGGCCACCAATGACAAAGAGATGCACGACTGGCTGTACGCTTTTAACCCTCTGCTAGCCGGCACCATCAGGTGAGTGGTGGAGAGAATGTAAAGAGAAAATCCCCCTAAAACATCATGAAAAACTGTTTAACACAGCTATTATGTTAATCTTACACATATGAAATAGAACTGCGGTAACACTTTCCTATAGTTAGTAATTACTGTGAACATGCCAAACAATTAACATAACCCGGATCAGCGCTTCCCAACCTTTTTGTCTTGTGACCCCTTAAGACAAAGTAGTGTGAACCTGTGACCCCTCATTATGGTTTCTGTGTGGACATGAGGTCTGAGCACTTTAATCAAGTTGTTTCATTTGAAAGAGGCCTATAGAGTTGAACTGTTCCAGTATCCTTCACAAGAACAGAAACAAAGTCAGAAAAACAAATAATATTGTTTAGCAGAAATATCTGGTGGCCTCAAATATTTTAATTCCCCTCTCTCTTGAGGCGTCCCGACCTGCAGATTTCAAACCAATGACCTACATTGTCTTTTAGTCCGTGAACCGCAGGTCAGCTCTATATCCAAACATTTTAAATTAGTCCACACAACTGAGAATCAACAAATCAAACAAACAACTATAACTATAGACAATGATCTTACCTCAAATAACTCAGAATATTGTCTCTATTTTCTCTACAAATACTGCCAAGTTATTTTGTCTTTCAGAAAACTTGATGGGAAATTGCCACAACTGCTTTCTTTACAAGGTACATTTTAATTGTTTTGGTCTTACTTCCCCTCTCTTCCCCCCTCTCTCTCCTCAGGTCAAAGCTCTCCCGGAGAAAGTCGGTCCAGTCGGTCCCGTCTGCTATGAGGATGTGAGAGGTGAACCGGCCTGGTGGAAAACAACAAACAAACATACAAAACAATACAATCTAAAGGCTCAACTCAGCATCCTGCTCTAATGAACATAGACCATATAAACAAACTTATACATAAACCACTTAAATAACCCTCTGTATGACGACTGTCCCACTCCCAAACATCACTCGATCGCTCATCCCTAAAACCAACAAAACTGTCTTTTCTCTCTTTTTTAAATCGCCACCTTAAAACCCTGCATGGTGTGCTCCCTCCTGACCTTTAGCAGAAACATAAGACAAACTAACCACCCAAACCTGTTAATACACTTACCCCTGCTGAGCGTTGGGACTCGTTTTTATCAGCTTTCATGTAGAAATCTGTCATCTGTAAGACTACCATTTCCCTGTAGAGAGTTAGTATGTGGTCAGTCCCTCCTTTATTCATAATAACTGAAAATAAGTCCCAGTTCTAAATCAGCCATTTGTTTATTTCTAATTAACGCCATCGGGTGAGGGGGAAATTGACGCTTTGTAGAGTTGTGTAAAGTGCAGGGATGATCGCTCCATACAACCATCATATATTGTACATTACCTCAGTTTGGATTGGCTTGGTGCTCTACAGCATAGAGTATTTGTTTCACTGCATATGTTTTAGATAGCAAACAGATCAGTCATTTTAACGTTGAAGTAGCACGAGGGATTTGTTTGGACAAAATGGTATGTTGTTGTTCCTGTGTCGTTATTTCTTTAACCGATTCCAAGAAAACTGAGTTTGTTGGCTAGATTAATCCATTATCAGGAGAGAGAACCCACGTCCTTCTCGTTATCTGCTTCTTTTTTTATTTTATAACCCCTTGTGCGTATAGAACCATGATGGAGAAGTTTATTTATTGTTGCTATTGTAGGTTTTCTGCACTGGTATTTATTTGTGACAGGACCACTGACCAGTTTTGTTGCATGGCACTTTATTGTCTGTATTGAGTTTATGTATTGTATCATTTACTCAGTTATTTTGACCAAAGCACTTTTTTTTTTTTTCATTGTAAATCGTTGTCTAATGGGCTGCTGTGTTTATATTTAGGATGTTCGAGAAATAGTTTGCTATATTGGGGAAAACGCTCTGCTTTCTTGCCGAGAGTTAGATTGATACAACTGAATGATGCAGGTACTGTGAAGGCAGTTAGCTTAGCACAACGACTGGAAGCAGAGGTAGACAGCTAGCCTGTCTAAAAGTAACAAAATCTGCCTACCAGCACCTCTACCAGATATCGCCCAGCCCTATCTCCAAGTGTAACTTTTGGCAAGAGAGCAAATATACATTTTCCCCCAAATCTATTGCACTAAAAACGTATCAATTATACCTAAATCAACCCAAGATGTTTGACATGGTAAATAGGCTACACCAGGAGGATAACTGTTCTGTATGTGGCTAGTTTAAACTAGGTACAGTGTGTGGAATTTAGGGGGATCTGTTGTCAGATATGGAAAATAATATGAATAAGTATGTTTTATTTAGTGTATAATCACCTGAATATGGGAACTGTTGTGTTTTTGTTACCTTAGAATTAGCCGTTTATGTCTACACACCCCTCTTCATGAAGTCCACTAAGTTGGACCGCCATGTTTCTACGGTAGCCTAGAACGGACAAACCAAACACTGGCTCTAGATAGGGTCATTTGCGTTTTTTTGCTGTGGCCGCCATAGTTACACACGCTTGGCACTCGGGAGACGTTTCAGTTGGTTGAAATCTGCAACCTCACCGCTAGATGCTGCCAAATCCTACCACTGGTTCTTCAACCGTAATCAAATAAGCACTTATTCTGTCTGTTATGGGCCAGCAGAGTTGCCACAGTAAATACGTTTACTATTTAAGTCTCATCTAGTAGCTAAATGGAAAGTTGTAATTGACCACGGACCTGTAATCTGTTGAAGGTTGCTTTGAGTGGGCAAGAGCGTTGTCCATGCACCAGATAGTGCCTCCCTTTCTTCACCTCTTTTTCTTCTCTCCCTCCTTCATCGTCGTCTTTAACGCCAACACTAAAGTTTGCTACACGTGTCCAAGATTGAGCTTTTATGTAGAGTAAAAGTAGATGCTGTGAATCTTTTTTTTATATTGATGATCTACGTCAATGTTTTGGAGAGTGAATATTATCATTGATGCTATAGAGTATGTTGGTATAGCCTGTAACAGTACAGCGCATATCTCATTATCATCCTCTGTAAGTGTTGCATTTAAAAGCAATCCCCCCTCTTAGCTTTTGTACTGTAGCTGCTAGTCTAGATATTTGACAGCTTGATGCTTGTGTCAGAAACCAGTAAAGTATGATTAGCTTGGTGTTGTTATGACTTCAATCTCCAGGGATGGTTTCTAGATGCTTTTACATGCTGTGTGTTATTTTGCATTATACCAAGATGACCCCAAATGTTGGTTTGAGATCAATATTATCAGTGGACGGAAAAGGGTAACAAAAAAACATGTTGCCTTTGTTAAAGAGAATTTCTAAGGTGGACATAATTTAGATTCTCTATTGTATTGTTTGCATCTAAAGGGATATTATCTGCATCTGTTTTTTACATTCTTCTTTTGTAACTTAAAGACGTGGTCAGCCAACCATTTCTTCTCTCCCATTTTCCTCTTCTGTCTCGTCTGACTGATCATCTTTTTGTCAAATCTGATTTATAGTCAGTTAACTGAACGTATTCAGGACTGTACGCCACAGGCCAACCAACCTGTTGAGCAACGCAGCCTAGTACTCATAAAACCTGTTCAAAATCGGACTAATAAAAAGTCATATTTCACATTTAACTTTGTTGCTACGTAGGGCTTCTTTGATTTAGAAAAAGATATTCTGTCTGTTAGCAAAAAAATAATTGGGATTACATCATTTATTTCTGGGTCATTTTGGTATAATCAACTTTGTTGCTTTATATATATATACTATATATACTGTATGTTGTCTCCTGAAACAGAAGACGAATAGAAAGTTTTATTTATAAAGTTTAGAATCATAGATTAATTATGGTCTTAAAGTATATTGCACTCATGCACAAGGCATCTTTATTTAATATGATTTTGTATGATGATGTTTTAAGAATGTATGGAGAATACTGGTTTGCGTTTACTACAACCCTGTCCTGAAGGGAGAAGATTAGATTCTGAAACTCTGCCATTTTTGCTTCAGCAATCAAACCACCAACAACACTGCACCAAATTGCATTGATTTTTGTCTGGTTTTGTGTTCAACTGGCAGATGACTCGCAATGCTTCCAGCCCAAATAGTTTAACGGTATCATGTTTTTAAACAAAACACTTTGTGAGATACTTTTGTTGCACTGGCCAATAATTGTCGAAAGGTAAATGAGTTGATTAATTTATATTTGGCTGCTTTTTAACTGTCATAGCTCTGGATCTAAGCATGCAGGTCCCCTTATCTTCTGCTGTCCTCTGTCCCTCTCTCCTGCCTTACCGCTTGCTAATGACAACAGCGTCCCGCCCCCCCCCCCCCCCCCGAAGTGCTGCTTGTAAAGTATTGTCATTCATGACCCTTGTAATGACTAACTGGAAACCTTCCTCTCGGCTCTGTCTTGTATATAAATGGAGATTTTCTGTGTTGGGTCTCATCATACAGATGATATTAACTCTCTCTTCCTCTATACCAACATGAATAAAGAATAACTGGCCTGCTGCTTCGTCAAGGGTCACCCCAGAGTAAAGAGTGCTGATCAGGGATCAGTTTTGCACATTTCAGCTCAGTGTGGGTGAGGTGGCCATGATGGACCGGATAGATGATCCCAGGTCTGCCACTCTTGCTCTGAGCTGCTTGACAGAAGCAGAAACAGGTCGAAGCCTGTGATGAAGTCCTAATCTCAGTGCTCACGCTTATCTTTTGAGTGTTCTGGAGTTCTTTATCATGTCTGTGGACACATAACAAAAATTGTCAAGAAAAAAAAAAAATAAGGCGAATAAATAAATGTGTTGAAAATTATGCAACATCTTAGTGTGATGTGTTTGATTGTGGCCTTTATGAATTTTTTGCAAATGTATTATCAGCACACAATATGGCACACAGGACACCTCACATTATGATAGATGGACGAGTCTGCAGTACTGTTGTGCACAGTTTAAATCATCTTGTAGGACTGTTTGTTATGTTGACTCACCAAACTTCAGATATACCTTGACATCGACATGAAAAAAGTTATAATACAGGCTGTAACATTTCTCAAAGAATAACAATACAAATAACAACTGTAGAATATTATTTTCCACAGAAGGTAGTTCAAATATCAAATTGTCAGATTTCATTTTCGTATTAGTTTAATATGAGGAATGGGCTGACTTCTACCATGGCATCCATCCTTGATCCTGCATCCCTCTTTAATGAGAAAACATGATTGTCCAAAAGCAACATATAGATTAAATGCCATGAAACATTATCGAGCTCTGTACCCTTTTGATTTTAATCTTTTTGGGAAATATGCTTATTCGCTTTGCTGCTGAGAGTTAGATGAGAAGATTGATATCGCACTCATGTCTGTCCATTCAATATGAAGCTACAGGAAGCCGGATAGCTTAGCATAAAGACAGGAAATGGAGACAGCAAAATGACAGTGGGGTTTTTGTTTATATGGGGGGTTGTGTGACAGATTAGCCAGCGGCCAAGAAATACTCCATATCAGACACAAATTATTTTTCTAAACTTTTTTGTTTTTTCTTAAAGTGGTATCTTTAAATCTGTTCTGTTCTCGATTTTTTTTTTCTTTCTTTTTTTGTAACCACAGCATAACTAGAACAGCCTTTAGTCACTTTAAATAACTTTTAGCAGAGGTACAGGAACCTGGTAATGTATTTATCTGGAGTATCCCAATCTCAACAGGTTTAAACTAAAGAGTAAAAACAAAACCTGACCCCAACAGGACAGTGTTTTTGCTGACCTGATGAATGGATAACACAACATCATGCTCTTCTCATGTCTGTTGCAGAACGGTCTGTACTTTTGCCCAGGGTGAACACATGTGACTGTGTGTGTGAGACTGTTCTTCTGCGTTTGTGCAGCCTTCCATTATTGATTATATTCTACTCACCATGTGCTCAGCTGCAGCAGGGTCAGTCAGACTAATCCCCTAACAACAGAGGCAGAAATACTGGACCTGACACAAAGGCCCTGGGCTGAGTAAGGGTCACCCGCCTCCCAATACACACTGAGGTTACAGCACACTGTTGATGAACAATACGTTTGGTAAGATAACTGACGGCCTTTATATGTAATGAACGTTGAATATTTAATCATGTGTTGTACCTGTAGACCTGCCGTCACTATGTTTGTACTGTACATAGCTAGGCAGAGAGCTAAACACTCCCATAACGCTTGAAGACAGCAGCCGGCCTTAAAAATTTGCACTGGAATTTGTGGAAAACAGTATTAGTCAGCAAATTAAATTGTAGTAATTGCAAATTAGAAAAGAAGAAGATGCCGAGAGAGAGAGTTTATCAAAGCATTTTAAAATAAATGAATATAATCAAGAAAACTGGTTTCAAAAAGTATAGACTGTCAAATTGGTTGGATTGCCTCATACCAGGAAATAAACATAAGAAGAAACAAAGAAAAGTATCGCTAGTGAAAGATCAAGATTAAGTCCAAGAAGTTAAACACATTCATTATTCAGCAATTATACATAGTCCACAACAACACGAGTAAAAAGAGTAAAGTACAGTAAAAGTAAATAGAGTAACAGTCAACCCAGCAGTAACAGTTAGTGTCACTTAGAATGTTGCATTAGCAACGCATTAGCCTCAGCTAGGCTAGTTGGCTAGCTTTGTCAGCAGTAAATTGATTGTATAAAAAAATAGATCAACAAATCACAAATCAGCTAGTATAACAAGTACTAAAAGATTATGCTCCAACAAGAAATAGATAAAAGATGTGTGCGTGTAAATACTTGCTTGTTATGTTGTCTTAGGCAGTATGGGTTGGTATAGCAACGAAATGTATCACTGAAACCAACCACTGGTGGCAGAATAATTAATAATAAATAATAATACACTTAAAATATCCAAATCTGTGAGCCACAAGAAGTCAATAACTCATGCTACAGGAAGCAGTGGTCAAGCAGCTGTGGATGTAGTGTCGAGGCATCTTGTGTCATAAGTGTGAACCTGGTGTGAACACACACACACACACACATCTGAGTATGTGAGGTGTTCAACCAGAAGCATGCACACACACACACACACACACACTCACACACATTCCTGCTCCATCAGCCAACAGTATGTTCTCTCCGACATACATTCACGGAGCTATTGTTCTATACTTCCAACTGCAGGTCATTCTATCCCACTTGTTTAATTATGCACACTAAGAAGGCCCCCTGTCTGAGGTTTGAGTCCAGGTGATGCTGCTCCTTGGTCTGACTGTTTATTGGCTGCTCCACAGTAAAGAGACAACACCTTCTGGATTTTCCGCCTTGTTACTTTTTCCATTCTGATTAAATGCTTCTATCATTTTTTGAAAGCTATAGCATTCATCCACTGTCACTGTGTTGGTGATTCCACAGTTTCTGGACCATATTGTAAGTACTGCATGCATACTGATGCTTTTATATTTATATATATATATAATATACCAGATCTTGAATGAAAAATTGGGACACCTGGAACTTAAGGACAATAAAGTAATATATTGACATATGACAAAAAATATTTTGAATCTATGTTGAGCTTTTTGCAGAGTGAACCTCCTTTTTTCTTTTTGTTTGTTTCTTTCTTTCTTTAAATAAATAAAAGTAAGTAAAATGCACGTAAATTATGTGACATGTTTTTGGTGAGGTTACATTGTAACCGTTCTTTAACCAGCAAAGCCTTTCTAAGATAAAAAAGAGTGTCCCGGCAAAGATCGGCAGCAATAACAATGAGTTACAAACAACATAAGACAAATGACACGTTTCAGTTTTAAATATATTGCAAACTATTGCCAGTAACAGGTGGAATGAAAGCATTAGATTGGTAAATGCACTAAATACAATGCGTTTAGCAAATAACACATCAAATGTGTTTCAAGCTTTCCCCAATCACAGGTGGAACGAAGATATTAGAAGATAAATTTACTGAAATCTTTCAAAATCATAATAATGTATGTTGAACATAAAGCATTAAAAAAAAGCTAGCTACCTTCCTAACAAGGAATCTGACTTTGGGAGACTTGGGAGAAACACTGTAATTGTCCGTGTAGTATTTATGCCTTTGAATGGTGTGGAGCTTGTTAGAAAGTCCTGTGAATTAGTGAGGTTACCTGAAGCAGGATATCATGTCTCTCCAAGCTCTAACACACTTTCTCCTGCACTCTGTGCGGGCTACGCTACCTTCGCTGACCGGGGTCCTGTTTCACCACTTTTTGTTTTTGTTCCAATTACTACGAGCTGTGTTGCCTGTGTTGAATTGAGCATGTGTGGCATCAAGGGGGCCTCAGTCTCTTTGATGATTACTTTGAAATTGTTTATACTCTGCTGCTCTGTGTCAAATTTCTCTCCAGGTGGGGTCCTCTTTTTCTCATTTTATCTGGTTATTGTTTATTGTTGTTATCAGTTTCAGAAAGAGGAGCTCCTGCTGCTTTGAAAGTCTGGACTTTGAATGCGCAGCGCCAACATGGACAGCAACAAGGTGACCAATCATCAGTGCAGGAACTGAAATAACAGTAGGACACTGTAACACACTGTAACATGAGAGTTTCACTGAGAAGAGCGCAGATCTCCACCAGATGTGTCTGCAAGGACCACTACTGTGTCGTGTGATTAAATCAATACAACCCACAATTGGCTAACCCCAATTGTTGTTTGCTGCTATATTAATGCTCTGAATATGAAATATAGCTCCCTTAAGAGTAGTGAGTGAGGAGTCAGCAGGTAGTCAGTCCTTGTTCATGCAGCCATAACTGGCCAGCCAAAAATATTATGCAATTTGCTGCAGCAAAATGCGAGAACAGTCGTGGACAGACACAGAGGTGCACACTCAGTCACTCACTCACGCACAAACACACACACAACTGGTCTCTTGATCATCTTGGCGGAGCTGACTACTGTACTAACTTCACTAATTGCTGTATTACAATAATTACTGGAAATGAGCTATTGTTAATATTTCCTGCTACAGCTTTGCTTTTCCTGCGGCTCAAAAATATCTGTTGTGTAAAAAGGTGTATGGCTAAAACGGCAGAAACTAATTGGGAACCAGTGCCTTCAAGTACAACACAATTATCTGCTGAACTGATTGCACCAAATTCTGGTAAATATCAGCAAAAATACATATAAGACGGCTTTGTATTCTCATTCACTGAGCTTACATACTGTAAACAAGGATGGGCAACGTAGGCACACAAAAATGAATCACTGGATCTCTTAGAAGGGCAGTTGATATAGAAATCGAAGAAACAAAACAACGTAGGACTAAGCTAAATTCTGATGATAATGTATACATAAAAGCAAAAGAAAGATGAACTGTCCCTTTAATCATTGCTCACCCCTGCTGTGTGTGTGTGTGTGTGTCCCTAGCAGCCGGTGAAGGAGGTGCTCCCCCTGCCTCGCCACCCTTCCCCACTTCCTGTGACCACTTCCTCTCTGACCCCTGCTGCCACTTTGAAGAAACACAACACAGACTCCATGCAGCATGTACAGGTGGCCTCGTCAGGTGATTAACAAAGAGACCACATGTTTGCATTTCATTGTGTACAACTGACACAATATTTTACAAACAACTCATACCTTTTGTGTAAAAAGGAAATAGAAATATTGAGTCATTTTAAAACTGAATTGTTGACATTTGGCCTGTGTTGTGTTTGTTTACAGTGGTTACATCGTTCAGCTATCTAAAGCCAACGGAGAGGGATTTTACCCTGATGTCCCACATGAAGTCTATGAAGTCTCTGAGACATGCTGGCTACACTGCGGTCTTCACTGGACAAACAGTGAGCCAGTGGGCACAAAAAATATGTGTAT